CTGCTTCTGACATTTCCTCCTCTCATATATATGAGAAAATATACACTATTTTCTTTTTCCTTTTGCCCTGTTTCCTCTTCTCGCCTCTTTAGACTTTTTCCAATGTCGTGTGTGCATGCGCGTGCACACATGCGTTTGTGTAGCTGCATAAGAGAGAAAACGTGCTGTCTTTCTGAGTCTTGCTTAGACTTGATCAGAACTTTAAACGAGTGAAGAAGGGTCACCGTGTGTCTTGCCCCCCATTCTATCCCCAGACCCTGGCAGAATCTCTAAGTCTTCCAGCACCGAGGGAGGAAACTGCAGTTGTTTTCCACAGCTCTACGATTGTTCCAGATGAGGAAAGGGAAGGGGAAGCCAAGAACACGCAGCTTGAGGTGCTCTGGCAACGAGGAAGGGCGTTGTGAACATCAACGCACCCGCATTTCCTCCCTTCCCTTATCAGCCGTATCTTGTGGGTTCCCTGCACTCCCCCTTAACTTAGTTCCATGTCTTCAGCAGGAGGAAGAGGTGTTGGGTTGAAGATGACGGTGCCAACTGCACATCATCCCAAAGCCTTTTTAAGGGCACTTCCCTGCAAACTCATCTAAAAAAAGGTCTCAGTAAAACAATGGTCTATCAATTTAGACTTCAAGGTCTAATTTATGTTTTCCTTTTAGTATAAAATCTCTGTTTACATGTATCTGTTGCTGTCTATTTCCGAGTGGATTTTAGCAGTATGTTTTCTACAAGAAAATATATAAAATAAATAAGGAAGTAGGAATGACAAGTCCAAAACTCCTGGCCTGTAGTCTTGACTGTCCTTGTTGTCACTGATGTCTCTAGGCTCTTTTCCCCTGCCTGGAAGTACGTGCCGTACCTTTAAACTCAAGGATACCAGGAGGTGGAGTCAGTATTGAGAACGTGTTGTTAGCTAGTCCCAGTGCTGCACAGATGTGCAGCTCATTAGAATCCCAGCAGCACTGTATGCATCCTTGCCCTGCTCCATCGCCTGTCAAAGTACGGGGGGAGGGGACCAGTGTCTGCTTGTTTATTTCTTTACAGTAAGTTTCAGTCTGCAGCAGGATGGTAATTTCCTTTAGCAGAATAGTCACCTTATCTACAAGAAGCAAACCATCCTAGTTGGTGCCTGTCAAAATGCTGCTGTCTGTAAGCTTAGGTCTTATTCCTGGTCTGTCTGCTCTGCACACTGCTGACAGGCTCCTCGTATGTGGAATTTTAGACTCCATGGCTGGCAGATTTTCATGTGACATACCTTCCCCTGACTCTTTTCAGGAAAAAGCACAAATTCTGCTTGTGGGTATAATGTCCAGAAGGATGGAATGCTGGTGTTTTTTGGAGTTAGCTTCTTAACCAGAGGATATGAACACGAGGAAGTGACCCGAGGTCTGCTGACCTGCTCAGCTGCTTTTGCTCTGCTCAGACTTAAGGATGCCAACTTTTCTCTGGCTTGCTCTCATTGTGTTACCGGTTCCCTGTGTCTGGTGCATCTAGGATATCCTTGCCTCTGGACCATTGTAGCTTTTGGGAAATAAATAGATAGATTATAGATAGGGGGTTTCCAGACATTTATCATCCCTCCTTCACTCCTCTTTTTTGAGACAAGGTCTCATTCTGTAGCCCCAATTGGTCCCGAATTTTCCATGTATTATAGTCTGACCTCAAATCCTTGATCCTCCAGCCTCACACCTCCTGGTGCTGAATCACAGGCCTGGTGCTTCATTGCTTTCTTTTTATTGAATTGTTTTAAGGTAATTTTTTATTTTTTGAAAATGTCACACATTTATACAAGGTATTTCGATTACATCCATATGTCACGACCACCTTCCAACACCACACCCTGTTCCCCTACACTAGTTCTCTTGCAGCTTCATGTCCTCTTTTTGTTATTAATAACCCTGAGTCAAATTAGTGCTCTCCATATCCACACGAGGGTGTAGTCATCCCTTGGGACATGAGCAGCTGTATCCCCAAAGGAAGTTTGACTCTTTTTCTCTCAGGTGCCATCAACTGCCAACACTTCCTTTACTAAGAATGGGGCCTTGGGCCCTTCCTCGTCCAGATTGGAATGTTGACTGGCTTGATCTTGTACGGGTCTTGTGCCAGTAACCACAGCTGCTGTGACTCCGTGAATGCAAAGCCATGTCGTATCCAACGGTGAGCACTTCACATCTCTCTTCTCCAGCCGCTGGTGTTTATGTTCTTCCCACCCCAGTTTGTGAAGTTCCCTGAGCTTTGGATGGTGTGACGTTAATACAGATGATGCATGCATAGCTGAGCATTCATAATTCTTTGTACTTGGCACTTGGGCCAAGTACAAAGTCTATGCATTAGTAACTGTCCACTGCAAGAAGAAGCTTCTCTGTCCAAGGTTGAGAGCAGTAGAAATCCATGGCCATGAACAAAAATCTATAGAAAGTAGTTTGACAACATGGTCATTTAGCAAAAGAACAGCTGTGGGATTTCCAAGTCATAAGCCTTTGACTAGGTGTATAGTATTAGCACAAAACACCTCCCGTGGAGCAGGTTACTCCCATAACAGTCATGCCATTATCATACCAGTGGCCATATCTTACAGGAGGTCAGTATTGTAGCACACAGTGCCCAGCAACTTAGTCAAACTGTTGGTGTCTTTTCTCCTTAGCACCCTGCTTGGCACCTTCTGGTACAGTTTAAGCTAGTTTCCTGGTGAGTTTGAGTTGATAGTTTGAGTTGCTTTCTCTATATTCTGCATCCAGAGCTAGTGGTGTCTTTATCAAGTGTCTTACATCTAATTAGTGGACAGCTAAGAGCAATGGCAGTGGCTGTGTTGATCTGAGTGTCTCTGAGGCCTCTATACCACTAACCATAGAGAGGCTTATATCAGGCCATAGTAGCAAGTCTGTGGGAGAATTTTCTTGATTAGTGATTGCTATGGGAGGGCCCAGCCCACTGTGGGACCCTGTGCAGGTGGTCCAGAGGCATATAAGAAGAACAGGCGAGCAAGCCATGAGGAAGAATCCAGTAAACAGCATCCCTCCATGGCTTCTGCTTCAGTTCCTGCCTTGACTTCCCTCAATGACGACGTGTGAAAGGATTTGTAAGATGAAATAAACCCTTCCTTTCCTAAGTTGTTTTGGTCATAGGGTTTTATTATAGAAATGTTAAACCCAACCTAAGATACTAAGTGCCATTTAAAAATAAAATGTAGGCTAGAAGCCGGGCGGTGGTGGCGCACGCCTTTAATCCCAGCACTCGGGAGGCAGAGGCAGGCAGATCTCTGTGAGTTCGAGGCCAGCCTGGTCTACAAGAGCTAGTTCCAAGACAGGAACCAAAAACTACAGAGAAACCCTGTCTCGGAAAAAAAAAATGTAGGCTAGAGAGGGAATTTGGTCAATCAGGTGCTTGTCTTGAAAGCATCGAGGATGCAAGTTAGCTCTCTAGAGTCATATACAGCTGATGGTTTCCACTTTCAAAACTCTTGCCTTATATTCTCTTAGATTATGAGAAATAGAGGTTTATGGTAGGCACACATATCTGTTGGCCTGTAGCCACCTCGGTGCCTAAAGAGCAGTCCTGGAGTTCATGCTGTTGTCTGCTCTGGTGTTTACACTACACTGATAAATCTCTCCATCTCATTATACTCTGCCTTTCTCTAGCTTCTTGTGACTCTCAGCGATCTACCTCACTTTCATACTTTAATTCATATTCATTATAAAAGGGACTGAATTAGTTGTGCAGGCTCTTAGAGTCACCTCAGGAGACTCTGTGGTCATCTTTAGGAGGTCTCAATCCCTCAAAACCAATTTTAGTTTGTCGTCTAAGTCAGAGCAACCATACCAAAAGAACCATTAGAAGGAACTTGGGTGGGCTTGGCAGTGCATCACGTTACTCCCCACTCATGAGCCACTGGGAGCCTTCAGATTGGAGGAGAAATAGTGTTATACTTGCAGTATTTTCTGCTGACCCTCAGAAAGGGCAGCTCGTGGTTACCCCAAACCAGGTTATCTTCAGGTGTCTTGGTTCTGCAGCCTTCCATAGAAGTAACAGCAGCTCAGGTATATTCTGATTCTGCTTTCCACCACCTTTTATTCAACCCTTCCTGACTTTTGCTAAAATGGGAGTGAATTCCCAGTAAATAAGGAAGCGAACACATGTCAGAATCATTGTATAGGTCCAAGATTTGTAATTCTGCAGTCTAAACTCTTACCAGCTCATATCACTGTCTTTAAGCCACAGAGTAAGCCAGTATCCTGAAGCATCAGTAAACATTTCTATGTCAAAACACTCTTGGGGAGTGACAACTTTTCTTAGAGGCTAGCAGCTGAAGGACAGCATATAGGTGGTTTATTATCTCCGCGAGATTGGTTGGAAAATGTTGAGACCATGGAAGCAGCATATCTTCATTCCATCAGATCTACAAACTCAGCTGCATGGAAACCACTGTACTGGTACCTCTCTCACGTCACTGAAGTTTGGTGTGAACCTCTCCATGTACTAGATGCACTGGGCTAGATGAACATACAGTAAGGCAGACTCTGAGTTGGCTGATCACTGTGCCAAAGAGGGATGTGGCCATCCTGAAGCGGAGGCTTCAGGTCATGGTTTTTTTAACCGTGCTGTGCCATCAAGATTGCCTTTATATAGGACTTGGTACTTAGAGGAAAAGGAAAGGCAGGGAAGGAATGGTAGAGGCCCACAGTCTATGAGAGATGGCAAAGCATCGATAAAAAAGTGCTTGGAAAGGCTTTAGCATTCTAAGGGCTTTGTCTGGGATGGAGAAGGAAAGCCGGCTTAAAGAGACTTCTCTTTCTCTTTCTCTTGGTTCCTCCAGAGGGCATACTGAAAGGAAAGCATCACTTATGGTTGTCTCTAAGAGACTGGTTAGGATGTATTTTCCATCCCCTGTACGTTGTGGCAGACATCCACATCTACATGGAAGGAAAAGCTGTGGCCTCCACCCAGTGTTCCTTGCTGTGTTGGGGCTGTAGAGTATCTAATTTTACTTTTGCTTTCCCCTTCAGGCTGCTTGATAGAGGCAGTGGATCTCAAGTCCAGCAACCGAAACCCAGTTGTACATGAATTTGAAAGTAAGTACAAATAAACAGAGCGGAATGGGCCCCCTGGTGGACATTGTGTAGTTCTGCAGCCAACCCAATACCTGTTCCTCTATTATGATTATTTAATTAAATTAATTTAATTTATTTATACATTTGTTTGTTTTAGACAGGATTTCACTGTTTAGCCCTGGCTGGCCTGGAACTCACAGAGACCTACCTGCCTGCCTCTGCCTTCCAAGTGCTAGGATTAAAAGTGTCCACTATCATACCCAACCTATTATCATTTAAAAAGATATTTATTTTATTTGTGACTGTGTGTCTGTCTGTGCACATGTTGGGGGGAGGCTGCAGAGGCCAGAAGGGGGCCTTGGATCTCTAGGAGCTGGAGTTCCAGGTAGCTGTGTACTGGACATTGAACTGCTCTCTGCAAGAGCAGTAAGTGCTCTTAACCACTGGACCACCCCTCCAGCCCCTACTCCCCTACATGTTATGGTGAAGAATGCTCAGGATGGCTATTGTGTATGAGTAGATTAGTGTGTACTCCTTGGTTTATGTTTGGTGCCATCTGTCTCCTGCCTATCACTGTGCCTGTACAACAAAGAAATCGCATATCATAGATTCAGCGTCTTTAAAGAAAGGTGTATTCCCTATAGTGTAATCCTCACTAATTTTTACGGCAAAAAAAAAATCATCTCAGAATCTTGGGAAAATTAAGCTTATACTTTTTCTCCCACTGCTCATTAGGTGTGGAACTGTCTTGTATCATTACGGAATCACAGACAAATGACCCTAGGATTGAATGGAAGAAAATCCAAGGTGGTCAAACCTCATATGTGTATTTCAACAACAAGATTCAAGGTACGAACCCATCGTCCACTGGGCTACTCACTTTGCTTTTGTCCACAGGCTTTGGAATTTATTCATAGCAGAGATTTGCCCAAGACTGCTAACCTGCACCCGCATTTAGGACTATTCTGATTTTCTTGTGAAAATTTCAACTTTAGCATTGATATTTTGAGCCTCTCTGTACCTTTAAGATGCAGATTGAACAGTAGCAGCTCATTAGTAAAGGCATCTAATCTCTGCACAACCTACCTGTCTACCTGTCTGAGAAGTCACAGCGAACAGCTTCCTTAGCCTTGTTGTTATGGCCCATGGCAGATAAAGTGTGAGCAAGTGACAAAAGGGTCATCACAGAGCTGCACTGTCCGGTGTGGAGGGCTGGGGTCTCCCTCCATTGGCTGGCGGGACTAACATAAACTGCCATGGGATGTCGAGAAGGAGGAGGAGAATGAGGGCCAGGCATCTGGACAGTAGGCTGCAGAGTGCCGGGTAACGAGACAATGGTCAGAGATGTGGTGGCGGGAAAGGATGCTGCATATGGACACACAGAAGCCAGGAAGACCGTTGCCGATGAGAAGAGCTGCAGCCAGAGAGGGAAAAGAGGAAGACATGAGGTGTTCTGGCTGTCAGACAAACCAGGACAGTAGATAATACTCATCAAAGGTGCTAGGAGAAGCCACGTGCTCGTACGCTTTGAAGACTCAGGTGAAAAGAGATTGGAGATAACAAGACTGAGAACAGGATCGTAGTATATTAGGTTTCCTTTGCAGTCTGGTGGATGGGGTTGTTCACAGGGGCTGAGCTGAGCTACAGACGTGGCAAGGGTAGAATTGCTAGGACTTGGTACTGCTGAAGGAGGTGGCGTTGGGTCAGTGGGGAGCTTAAGTGTTACAGCTCTGAGAGGAAGGGGATTCTGGCAGTGAGGAGCCAGGGAATGCCATAAAGTCACACCGCACAACAAACTTCACATAAGAGATTTACTGGGAAAAGCACAGCGGGATTGTTAACTACCTTTGCTCTGAAGAGAAGTAGCAGAGAACTGGGCATTATGTAGGGTTTCTTGGTGGGTGGAGCTTTCCAGGGTGGCCTGGGATTGGAGGGATTTTTGTGGACTGTCTGATCTTGGGACAAGCTCAGGGATTGGTGGGATTTCTATGTTCTGATGTTGGGCTTTTTTTCTGTAGGGTGGGGCCTGGCCACCCTCCTGCCTCAAGGGGCTGGAAAAGACCTGTTAAGGCACTTAGAGAAGTCCGGGAAACAGGCTTCTTGCACCTCTGATGGGCTTTATACAGAGGCAACACATAGTAGGATGTCATTTTCCTTCTCACACTGAGGGAAGAAATAAATAGGAGGTCCAGTGTGGGTCTGTTCAATTTTAGGGAAATCATAGTCTCTGTGATTTGAGTTCTACGTGTTATCAGGATTTAGATGCTCCTAGAAATAGTTTGTTGACTACAACTGTAGCTCAGTGGTGTAGTGTGTGCCCAGCATTCATAAACCCTGAATTCAATCTCTAGGACTGAAGAGGGGGAAAAAAAAGGCCAAAACCCAACAACATCCAAGGGCGGAATGTGTATCCCAGTAATAGTACCCTTTGAAGGTTCACAACTCCAGGGGATCTGATGCCTTCTTCTGGCCTCCACAGGCCATGCACGTGTGATGTAGACAAAACATCCATACATAAAGTATAAGTAAGTCTGAAGAACTCCAATCTTACTAAAACCATAAAAACCCAATGTATTCTGGGGGCTGGAGAGACGATTGAGTTGTTTTGAGTATGTACTGTTGCAGAGGACCTGAGCTTAGTTCCTAGCACCACTCAAGGCGGTCTTAGCTTCAGCTTCCGGGTATCCGACATCCTCTTCTGTACTCGGAAGACACTGCCCTTATACCTGCACATACCCACACACATATACATACAATAACAAAGTAAACCTGAAAGATGGAAAGAAAACTTCCTATTTCCCTAGAGCAAGGGGTGTGGGTGGGCAGAGTGATGGACCACTGATCAGCATGCACAAGGCCCTAAGCATCCCTTGCATCACAAACAATAGCAGCTTTCCTTTATGGACTCTTAGTCATAGCAATGGCTACTACAATGAACATCAACCACAAAGAACCAGGTTGGAGGCAGGACTCATCTTATGCTTTGGTGTAGGACTGTGTCCAAAGCACAAGTTAGATCTGTCCCCCTTGAAGTTGTCATAGGCACATAGGTATGGAACCACCACCCTGTCCAATCCCAGAAACTTTCTGTAGCCAAGAAAGAAAGCCATGCCCGCGAACAGTCAGGACCCTTCCCTCACCCCTTAGCAGCCCTCTGTCTACTCTGTCTCTCTGCATCCCTTTTGGAGACTTCATATAAAGGGGACATTATCCTTTTGTTCTTGGCTTCTTTCACTTAGCATAGTACTTTCAGAACTCATCCACCTATAATGTGGATCAGAACTTTGTTCCCTTTGGTGGCTGAGTCAGTGTTCACTGTGTGGTTACTATGTTATTTTGTCCATTCATCAGCGGATATGTGTGTAGTTAGCTACTTTCACATGTTGGCTGTCAGTATTCTGCACTCATGTACACCTGGTGTACAGACATACATACATACAGATCATACGGTAGCTGCACGATGAGTTTTTGAAGAAACTGTCAGACTGCTTTCCAAAGTGGTGCCTTTTTGTCTTTAAAGATTTTATTTTTGGTGTCTAAGTATTTTGTCTGCAAGCATATCTGTGTACAAGATCTGTGTGCTGGGTGCACAGAGGACAGAAGAGAGCATTGGCTCCCTTGGAACTGGAGTTGTGTGTGGATGGTTGTGAGCCACCATGTGGTTGCTGCGAACCAAACCTGGATCCTCTGCAAAAGTAACATGAATGTTCTTAGCCACCTAGCCATCTACCCAACCCTGGCTTCACTGTTTTACATTTTCACTAGCAATGTCAACCCCCACCTTACCCCTGGAGTCTTACCAACACTTGTGATCACCTGTCTTTTGACCTTAATTGTCTTAGTGGATGCATGAAGATGTCTCTGTGAAGCTAGCTGCACCTTTATGTGCTTATTGGGCAGCTGTGTATTTTCTTGGCAAAACATATAATCAACTGTTAGGTTCACTTGCAAAACTTGTATATTGTTATTGCACTGGAAATTTCTTTATTCCAGGGACTAGTCTGACGTGGCGTGGAGAGTTTCTCCCATTCTGTAGATCGTCTGTTCACCTGCTTATGTCCTTTAAAGCACAAATGGTTTTTAACTTGAAGAAATCTAATATAACTCCATTTTTTGGTGCTTATGTCTTTGCTCTCATATTTAAGAAGCTATTATATAACTCGGGGTCATGAATATTATGCCTTCTGGAGAGATGGCTCAGTGGTTGAGAGTTCTGGCTTTTGCAGAGGACCTAGGTTTGATTCTTAGCACCCACATAGTGGCTGGCAACCATTTGTAACTTAGGCTCCAGGGCATTTGATTCTGATTTCTGTGAACACCAGGCACACACCTGGTGTGCAGACATACGTGCAGGCAAAAAATTCATACAGGAAAGTAAATAAATCTAAAAAAATATTCCTTTTTCTCCCTTAATACTGTTTTGGTTTTTGGGATAACACTTTGCTGGCCTGGAGCTTGCTGTGTTGCCCAGGCTAGCCTCAGGTTCAAGTTCCTGTAAGTTTAGAGTCGCAAACAGATGTGCCATTAAGCCCAGCTCTCATTTAACATTATTTTCCCTCAAGACAAGGTTTCTCTGTGTAGCCCTAGCTGTCCTGAAACTTGCTGTGGAGACCAGGCTGGCTTTAAACTCACAGAGATCTACCCGTCTCTGCCTCCCAAGTGCCCCACCACCTGGCATCTTACTGAATTCTTCTGTAGGTGTTTTTTGACTAGGGAGGGCAGCCTATGTTTAGCTTTCTTCTTTTGCATGTGGATAGCCACAACATCCTTTGTGGATTTTGATTTTTAATGTTTATTTGGTTCTCCTTTTAGTGGGAATTCTCTCTTGGAGATAATAAAGAAAAAACAAGGTTCCTGGCTTTATCTTAAATACCAGTTATTTTTGATGCTCAGGTCGCATATGGGAAGTTGGTGGCCCAGCGCTCACACACTTCTTTCACCTGGGGACAGGACAGAAAGCAGGCTGCAGTCTTTCTGCTCTGCCATCAAGTCCGGCCCCACAGTATGTTCCTTCCGGTGCTTAGCAACTCGTGTCTTCTTTTTCACAGGGGACCTGGCAGGTCGTACAGATGTGTTTGGAAAATCTTCATTGAGGATCTGGAATGTGACACGGTCGGACTCAGCCATCTATCGCTGTGAGGTCGTTGCTGTACATGACCGAAAAGCCGTCGATGAGATTACCATTGAATTAATTGTGCAAGGTGGGAACCCATCAATGTGAAGCACCTTACGAGTCCTTAGCTCTAGAATAAGAGAGCAGCTCATTTTTTTATTTCATTTTTCCAGAGCTGCATCCCTGGGCTATCTGCAGTTTGGAGAGGGGAGCTAGTGAGGCTGTCAGGAGGTGGTGGGAAGGGTTGGAAGTTGGAGACAGAGGCTGAGCACCTGGTGTGTTCCTTACCAGCCTAGGGCCCTGCCTTTGCATAATCTCCTTTTCAGTTTACTCCTGAAGGTGGAAGGACTGGAAACTGGGATTGGACACACGGGGTGGAATGAGCTCCAATAGCAGGCAGCCTGCAAATGGGCTGCCGTCTTTGGAGATGGTTTACTACCCTGGGTTTTGTTATGAAGGGCTTCCACTGAAATTTAAACACCGACCTGTATTTTTACCTGCAGTGAAGCCTGTGACCCCTGTCTGCAGAGTACCGAAGGCTGTGCCCGTAGGCAAGATGGCGACACTGCAGTGCCAGGAGAGCGAGGGCTATCCCCGCCCTCACTACAGCTGGTACCGCAACGATGTGCCACTGCCTACAGACTCCAGAGCCAACCCGAGGTTCCACAACTCCTCATTCCGTGTGAACTCCGAGACGGGCACTCTGGTAAGAGCTCTTCGGAAGCGAGGACGCAGATGTGTTTGTTGCGGCCTTGGATGCTTTAAGGAAACCTGTACAGCTAGAAAAGTCAAGGGCAAGTAAACAAATGTGTGGGCAGTATTAGAATCCTAGTTTGATCAGTCCAACAGGCAAATCAGCATGTGAGGGAAATATGATTATTGGCAGATGCTTGATATTAAGCAATTATTAACAAAATTGTATTGTGATTATAATTCTTTAGTCCTTATCATACACAGTAGTGTTTCTCAACTTGGGGGTTGAATGACCCTTTCACCGGGGTCACCTAAGACCACTGGAAAACACAGATATTTACATGAACATTTATAAATGTAACAAAATTACAGTTATAGAGTAGCAATGAAAACAGTTTTATGGTTGGGGGGTCACTACAACAGGAGCAATGGGATTAAAAGGTCAAAGCATTAGGAAGGCTGAGAACCATTGATGTAGAGATAGATTCTTAGGGATAACACAGACCTGGAATTTACTACAGAATAACCTACTGGTAGTGGGAGGCCACATGGGAGACAAAAAGAAAGAAAACAAAGGTTGGTCAAGCAGCAGAGGACATGCTGGCCTTGAAGCACTTCTCAGCAGGGGGTTGTCTTGGCTCGCACCCAGCTGCAGGCAGTGGTCAGGTGAATCGGGACAGGATGTTTGGTACTGTCTAAGGAGAGTTATTAGGGTTGCTTTGACTTTACAGTGAAAGTGAAGCTGGCTTCTCTGTATCCTGGAGAGAATTCCTTGTTGCAGGCTCTGAGGTGAGGATCACGTGCCAGGGAAGCCAGAGGAAGGCCACAACAGACGAGCTGACTACTGTGTGGTCTCATCAGGCCTTTGCCAGCCTTGGCGTCTGCCTCTCTGTCTGTCGTGTTGAGTGAAGTAATGCTTGTCATTTCTGAAACAGGTTTTCAGTGCTGTCCACAAGGATGACTCTGGGCAGTACTACTGCATTGCTTCCAATGACGCAGGCGCATCCAGGTGTGAGGGGCAGGACATGGAAGTCTGTGAGTCATTTGAGATCACACTGGAGTCTGGGGATTGAATAGGACATTTGGAGATGAATGCTAGATGTCAGGTTAGCTAATAATCATCCTGCCATGCGTCAGTTTTCCTCTGGCGCTGACAAGGGACTCGTCAGATCCAGTGGAGCCTGAGGATTGTGTGTATGAAAAAGCACAGGATCGAAATAAGTAGATCCTCAGACAAACTTCCGGGCAGCTTTGGGTGTTGGCGACACAGTCATGGAACTTTCACAGGGTACAATAAACTCTTTGGAAAATGATTGAGGTGTCAAAACCCAGTTGTATGGGGAACCTGACAGGCTTCTAAGAATTTAGCCTGTCATAGTAGCTAGGTTTTCAGGAAAAGCACCATGCTTTTCCCTGTTCTGTGATGTCATCTCTTGGGAGTGGGCTCATGGGAGGAAGTGGATAGGCTGAGTTGAGCCACATGGGGAGCTTCTCAAATTCTCAGTTGTGGCCACCCCTAGGACAGTGGTTTCCATAGCCTGCTGGAGGACTGTTATACACAGGGCCCAGGGAGCATTTGCTGTTGTAGGAAGGTTTCCTGCATTCTTCGTGCATCTTTGTTTACATAAAGAAATAAACTACTGGAGCCTCTGCCCGGAGGATGCAGGGATTCTAAGAGGGCCGAGGATAGGCAGCCAGTGAAGGGAAAGGGCAGGTTTGCACTTTTATGTCTAAGATTTGAAGCTTTCTTTTCCCCAAGTATCCTCAGGTAATCTACAGCAAAGGCAGGCCATGTAAATTAAGGTTACTTGCCTTAGGGCTCCTGGCTCTTAATTCTACAGAAATATAGCCATTTCTCCATGAGTAATATCTTAAAGCCTTTTCTACACTGGCAAACTTCTCAGTGGCTTTGAGTGACCATGTTTCACGATTGGGGATTACAGTAGCCTTTATCTTCTAAGCCAGAGAGATGTTAGGAGACACTTTCCTCTTTTGGATAAAGTAGGCATGAATGGACAGAGAGGTAAATGGGGTAGGGTGGCGGTAGGTGTTGGAAAAGTGACCTAAGAAAGTCCAGGTCTTTTGAATGATCACACCATCTCTGCCCATAAACCCTTTCTGTAGATGATCTGAACATTGCTGGGATTATTGGGGGAGTCCTGGTTGTCCTTATTGTTCTTGCTCTGATCACGATGGGTATCTGCTGTGCATACAGACGTGGCTGCTTCATCAACAATAAACAAGATGGAGAAAGGTATGCCTGCCTTGTCTGAAGGTGAAGTTCAGGCTTGCATTAACAAATTGGCACACCACTGAATGGTCCTCTTCTGTTCACAGTTATAAGAGCCCAGGGAAGCATGATGGAGTTAACTACATTCGAACAAATGAAGAGGTAAGAGAGCAGAAAACCCATGCCAGGAGACCCAGCGATTTGCAAGGTACCTGGGAGTTATAGTGCACCCCTGAGCTCCTTGGCCGTCAAGGTAACTCCTTCCTTGTGGGTTCACAGTGCTAATGCGGTTTACTTACTTTCCTCTGCTAGTGTTGCCCTGGTTTCCTCTTTGGGCGGCATGGTTAGCCTACGTTTGATTTGATCAGTGTCTCCTACACCACTCACCGAAGCCCCTGAACTGTTGGTTCTTTGTGCTGTCTTTCCAGGGTGACTTCAGACACAAATCGTCCTTTGTCATCTGAGACCCGATGGCTGGGAGAGCATTGCAAATACCTCTACTGGAGACTGGTCAAGGGTGCTGCGAGCCCAGGGCACCTGCAGAGCGCCATGCAGAAGCTTTTTGTTTTGGCCAAAATCGACTCCTCCCTTGCTCTTTAACAAGCCACATGAATAAAGAAATCCTCCTGAAGATGGCATAGTAACTTAGATTGTTGCTAGCCTTTTCCCTTAGAGGGATTAGGATGATCTTCAAAGCTTTTCTGTTATCAGTTCTCTTGTGCAGGAAAACTTGGACTGTTTCTTGACCCCGGGTTGTTTAATAGCCAGGACGACACTGGCTATGAGACGATGAGGGGCCAGGCTGCAGCAGCAGCTGTGTGAGCTCGCCTGTGATGGTGTCCCAGGAAGGTTTCAGGCAGTCAGTGCCTTGCTCTCTGGACCCTGACCCACCGTGTTGCCTCTGTTGATTGGCCAGTATTTTCATGTCCATCCTGGAGAATCTATTTGGATCAGCATTTTATAAAAACCCAAATCAGAAAGGTAAAATTGCTTGCTGGAAAGAGAGTTCTTATCCAGAGAACTCTTGTTCCCAAGAGCTGCCAGGATTTAGGAGAACCTGTCTTAAGCTAAGTCTGAAATGGTACTGAAGTCTGCTTTTCTATTGATCTTGCTTATTTTATAAAATTTTAACATTCTAAATTTTTGCTAAAGATGTATTTTGATTATTGAACATTTCTATATAAACTGTAAATATATTGCCACACAGTATTTCAAAACGTATTTTTTTAAGAGTTCAATTTAAGATTAGAAGGCTTGGGCTACTAGTGTTCAACTGGAAACTACCAGTAATAAAAGTCTTTTAAGGAATTCTCTTTGTTCATAAAACGTTTTAGCATTTTTCTTAAGAAAACCACTGTTGCTTAGGTAACCATTAAAGACTTTGAATCTAGTCATGTTTGTATCTTTCTGTATAAAGAAACCCTGGGAACTCCTGGGCTAGTTTTGAACGGCCTCTTCCTGAGATTTCCTATTCCCAGAGAGGTACAATGCAGACAAAGCTGGATGGTTCCTGGGGTTAGTTCACTGCTCATGGTCACTAACTCGTGTAGGATGGAACGTCCCTGACAGCCTGCACAGCCCTGGCCTCAGCTCTCTACCAGGATTCAGATGTTCACTGGTGGTATTCTGGGCTGTGCAGTGCGCTGGTCTTAGGTGGGAAGCCTAGGAAGGCTGGTGACCAGTGGCATCCCAGTCTTTGGGTGCGGGGACAGAGCTCAATCTGTTCTGGAGAGATCATAAGACAAAGGCGGTGTAGTTGTTTTTAAAATTCATTTTAATTATTTGTTTAGTTGATAAGTGCATCCAAGGCCAAAGGCAATTTGAAACCGAACCTGTCAACTCCAGTAATATTTAAAAAGATTCTACTGTTCTCTTTGTTGTGATGAAAGTGGCCAACGCTGCAGGCTGTCTCCCCCAGGACAAGCCCTTGTGTCCAGCCCAGCTCTTTGAAGCCAGTCAGAAAGTACAGCCAAGGTACAGAGCCAGATGGGGAGCAAAGTGAAATACCCGACCAAAAGCAGTTTTCTAATTTTTATTTTAAATCTTTTATCTACCGGAGACACTACTCATTTTATGGAACATTAAAAACACCATTCAAAAGCCTTTATTCTTCAGGAACAGACGTCCTTCGTCTCAAACACTTTACCATGCTAGATCAGGATGTAAAGTGGTTTGAAGCCAGGGGCGTCTAAAGGAGTTCCTAATCCTACCTTGCACCCAGAGAGGTTTTTATGGAGGAGCTAGCCACTTTGTGATGTTAATATTTTTTTTATACTTCTACAGTCCCCCACCCCTTCCTTTTTTCACTGAATACTTGAAGCATACCGTTTTTTTTTTTTTTTTTCTTATGTGGAAGGCTATATGCTAAGATACTGGCAGGAACAGTAGGGTGGTAATTCTGTGCCTGTCCAGCACACCCGGTTTCTCTTGCTCTGCATCCTGGATAATCTCATCCCTCTTCTACCCCTGCCCCTCTCTTGGTAGAGCAGGACAGCCGCAGCTCTGCAGGGGTGGGGTGGGAGAGTAATACACTGACCTTCCAGTGACTGTCTCAGCAATAGGGCAGCTATGTTGCTCCCTCCTTTTCTCTTTAATGCCCTAAGCATTCTTTCACAGTGCCATGGGAACTAGTCTGACAAGGCAACATGTGAGCCTGGAAAGCAGTAGCCTGTGCCTGGACAGATGTGGCCTGAAGAAGCTCACTGACCCGTAAGATGTGAATGTGACTGAAGGAACCTGAAAGAGGCTGGTTTTTTGCTTGTTTGTTTTTGACTATTGATGTTGAAATTGTTGTTCATAGACGTTACAGACTTATACTAACACAACTGCAATTTGGTTATTTGTTAAAACTTGCTCATTTATAAAAACTTAAAAAAAAAACCATAAAATGAAACCACTTATTTCTTTGTGTTAGTTGATCCTGTATTCTTAGCATCTGGCTAGGCACATACTCTGCAAAGGCTCCACCACAATAAGAAAAGCCACATCGGTATCAGCCAAGTGCTCACTCAGGAGCAGCTATGACACGTATCCCACCAGCTGTCAGAGCTTCTTCACAGCGGAGAAGAGTAATTCTCCATTCCCGACTCTAGCTACCACATGCACACTACAAACGCCAGTTCCGGTGCTGGAGGCTTGCCTAGGCACACCTGCTCCTGGCTTATTGGGGGCAGGAGGAGGGTGGCACTAGCCAGGTATGGCAGAGCAGAGCGTGCCTGTGGTCCCTGCTACTCAGGAGGCTGAAACAAGGAAAGGACCAGACGAGTCCAGTTCAGCATGCTGAGCAACACAGTGAGACTCATGTCTCCAAAGAAGCAGAACACCGAATTCCATGTCTCGGGTTCCTGGAAGAGTTCCAACACCAGAGACCCAGGTCCCTTGTCCCTTCATGGTGTCATGTAGCAGTCCCACTGCCACTCTAAGGCCGGAGCCGTTCTGTCATAAGCAGGATTATACCCAATGTACTTATGGGATGTCTGTCGTTAGGGAGACAGAAAGTCTCTATCTGGGAACAAAGGCAGGTGGGCACATGACCCATAATGGGAAGGAGTTTATTCTATTTATATTTTAAGTATTTTTAAATCCTTAATGCAGTGTTAAGAAGACCACCAATAAAGCCCTGTCCCAAAAGCCAGAAAATTATATTAAATGCTAGGAGATTATATTTATATTTGACCTTTATTCCTTAATTTTAGAAAGACTGTACACCTCTTTTAATAAAATCTTCAATTATAAATAATAGAAAAATATTTCAATTCAGATTTTGCCATTAAGGAGAAATATCTGTCATAGTGAATTTGGAGGAGCTATAGACACTTGAGTTACACAGAGCAAAGCTGGTTTCTAAAATTGTGTTCCTTAAAAACCAGATTGTAACTTAACCACATGTTTAACACTCAAACACATCACAATATTAAATAGCTTAATGTTATTGTAAAAAAAAAGTCTAGATATGCCATCTCTGTATATATTTACAAATCTCAACTGCAGTAAAATAAACAGAACTATGGAAGGTTGGTCAGCCAGCACAAGTTGAACAAAGTCATGTTGGCATCCTACGAGAAGAACTGACGGCACTGTACGGCAAGTCTCTGCGCATGTAGACCATGCCCACGCCATCCTTTTCCCTTCCACATGGGAAAGGCCCGTGTCCCGCAGGCTTCTGCCTTCAGTCACTGCTCACACACACTATTTCAGTTGGCTGTCTTCAGGGGGATCTTGCGGAGGGACCTCCTGCTGGATCTTGGGTTGCCGTTGTTTCTGGCTAGAGACTTTATGTTCCACTGTGGAGACTGTGGAGGCCTGAAGAAGAAAATGTACAGTCAATGAAAAGAAAAAAAACTCTACAAAAATGCCCACCCAAGAATACTTACGATTTATCAGGCAGTGATAAACATAAAATGTCATTTCCTTGCCCCTGAGCGTCAATTTTCTCTGAAAAGGAGTAAAAAACAAAGTAATATAGTTTTCCCAGAACTTCAGAGGCAGTGGATATCCTGATGAGATGAAACCCAGAACTTACCTTTGGTAAGAAATGGAGTTGCTGGTGTCCCTATGTAACTGACTCCCACTCCAAATGTGACATCACTCATGGACCCTGGGAAAGGGGAAACTGTGTTAATAAAAACTGGGTACTACAGAGACATCAAGTGCAGGGAATTAAGTGCCTTAGCCAGTGAGGTCTCTGCTCTGGTTCTCATTCTGACCTCTACCTCACACACCAGGTGACGACCACTCATCGAAAGCTTCCCTTTGCCTCAGGACTGCACCCAGACAGAGACACCCTCCGTCTCTACTGACTTCCTCTTTCCACCAGGGCCTTTCTAAGGTTACACTGTAGCCAGGCCTTCATTTGCACACACCTGTAGCTTCTCCCAGCTCATTCGTATTTTCCTTCAGTGATTGCCTGTATGGAGGGGACCCTCAATTCCCCTCCTGGTTCTCTCTCCATTTCCTATGTTCCTCACCTGTATCTCCTAAGGAGATGTCAAAGCACACTGCTTAAGCCCCATGATGTTTCTTCCTTGTTCCTATATGTTGGAAGGATTGGTTCTCTAAAGCTTTAACTAGCCAGCACCACAGGCTATATCTCCACGTAGAATCAGTACCCACCTTGTCACTCTCTTCTTCCTTATTCCTGTCTTGCCCTCCTTACTATCTCAGTTCGTCCCACCCCGTACTCTTGATCTTCCATGGTGTGTCCCTGTCGGCCTCCTCAGCCTCACTTAGAAACACAGAGTAGCCTGGGATTGTGTTCTGTCTCTTTCACCAGCAGAAATTCAAGTCATTCACAGTCAGTTTATATGAGATGTAAAGTGTTTTAACACAGTATCTGCTACAAAGTAAGTGCCAAGGAAATAACTTATTAGCTATAATTCTCTATGTTACTAGAGTCACACTGACTTAAAGAACAGGTAAAGTTAGTGTCCTGGTTAGGTATCTTGATGGGGCTCTATCTGTTTGAGCTAGCCCCAAGTCACCCTTATAAGCCCAGGAACTTCACAAACATGAATCTGCTTGTGTCCCCTGGGCATATGGATGACCATTCTTCACCAGGCCCAACTCTTCTGTCATCTCTACCTGCCCATGACACATTGCCCCATCCTGGAGTCCTATAGCTATAGCCTTGGTGCACTGCGGACCAGCCTAAGCTGCTAGAGACTCCATGAGGGAGTAGAGCCTGGGTCTACATGCTTCAT